AAGTGGCCCGGGCCCCGGAGGGCCAGCGAGGGTCCTGGGCAGGAGAGGCGGGGTCCGAGAGGCCTCGGGGATACAGGGGGGAGCCAACTGCACGTTCTCCCCCCGCCCCCTTCGGGAGAGGCTCTGTTTCCCTCTGGAGACGGAGCCCCCTGCCCCCCCCCCTTCGGTCCTCTTCACCAGATGACGTCATCGGGGTAGTTTGCGCTGCGGTGGGGCAGCGGCGGGAGTGGCGCTTCGCTTAGAAACCCTTCGGGGGTTTTCCTAGCAGCCTCTCTCCCCCCCCCCGCCCCCATTTCCCTGGGGGGGAAAAGGCTCCAAAGACAGAGCCGCCGAAGGGCCGCCTCGCCGCTAGTGGCCTCCCGCCCGGCTTCTCCCAGATGTGGGAGAGCAAAGCAGCTGCCGCCGCCGCCAGTCCCCAGGGCCGCGGTGGGGGGAAGGGGCAGCAGGTGGCCGAGCCCCACTCGGAGCCCCAGCGGCGCACACGGCTAATTTGGACGCTGCTATTTAAATCGCAGGCAGGGAGACGGGAGGCACCGGCGCGGCGGGTCCCGGAACGCGCACTGGGCTCGCAGTCGGCTGGAGCAGCCCCGCCCGCCCGCCCGCCCGCGCTCTCCCAGGCCGGCCGAGGAAGGCCGCCTTTCCCGCTAGATCCCCCGCCCGCCTGCCCAGCCCAGCGCTCGTATCCTGGCTGGCGCGCAGATGGGGCACGTAGTCTAGATCCAGCAGGAGCCATCGGGGCCCATCCTCCAGCAGAACTACGGAGCGCCCCTCGCAGCACGGGGAGCGGAGGCCAGGCCGGGAAGAGCCCCGGAGTTGCAGGAGCGGGGCTGGGGGTCGCAGCTGCCCGCCTGCCTTCGCCAGAGCGAGGGACGAGCCTTGGTCCCCCCCCGCAGGACGGGAAGGCGCTGTGCTCTTCCCAGCCCGGAGGCCTCGCTAGCTCAAGCGGCGGCTCAGGCCTTTCTTCGGCTACGGATCCAGGGGGTGAGGGGGGGGCGGACGGCCCTGCTTTGGGAAACCGCGCCCCCACCCCCCGGTCGGCGGCGGC